GCAGTATATCGCCTGGAAGAAATCGCTATTTAACGATAAGGCCGCCCATTTTTACCTCTATATTGTAATTGTTGTTTTCTTATTATTTATTTTTATACATATTAATTTATGTAAACGTTATTTTCTGACTGTTAGAGGAATAATAAAGAGTTTTTCATTCATTAATTTATTCATTACAAAATCATAATAATATATGTAGTATATTGTTCAGACTGCTACGATTTGTATGTAACTTTGTATATGTTACATGCAAATCTGTACTTAACATTAAAACGCAAGAGAGAATTTATTACGTGGAAAATAAAGGACAGAACCACATCGATTTGAGAAATTCTTTCTGTATTTAAATACTACATATTATATACTATATATAATATAATACTATATATTCTAGAATAGCATAGGTTATATATTATGTTAATATATACAAAATTCACGAAGTTATGAGTGCCCTGGTGGAGATAGGCGGGCAAGTCTATATTGTTTTTTTTTTTAATTTCTAATGAAACTGGAAAGAGTAGTCATCAGATGTAATGTTAGTGTTTTTTTAAATGTATGATTATGGAACGGTGCAACTGCCTGCGTTGATGGTTTCGTTGGCGGGGCACCAGTGAAGGATGATAACATGAGCATGAAGTCAGGTCAGTTGGCCCATCCATCATGACAAATTCACTAGGAATTTGACAAGATGGTTTCCAGAGGAACCACATGGAGATCAACCTGACTTGATACATTGCTTGCAATCCCTTTCAACCCTGAGGATGTTTAAGGAATGGTGCACCCATCTGCACTAACGGTTTACGCTGGCGGGGCACCAGTGAAGGATGACTATCAATTTATCAATTTGTCAAACCGCGGAGGAGTTCAACCTGACTTGGTACATTGCTTGCGATGGAGTAATTAGTTGACATTACTTGCGTGAAGTGAAAAGTGATTGTTATCCCTTTCTCCCTTAATGTTAGTTATTTCGTACCTATCTGTGCCAACAAAATAGAATTACACAGTACCTACCTACATTGTTGTTAAGCTTATCTTGCCGTGGGACAGGGGTCACATCGACAACGGGTGTCGATGAACCGGCTGACATTGTACAAGGTGACCTACCCTCTATCTGAGGCATACATTAACTGCTAAACGATCATGTTCCAATTTTATTCCAGACTCGTATTTTTTGAATTTCCAAATTAGTTGCGGAGTTATACCGAGCATAATTCAACTAATATTATGGTATCTTATTATTGATGAGAAATTACGAATTGGTATGATATGAAAATTGTGAATTAGGTAATGTAATATGAGAGTTAATTGAATATATACGAATAATAATCTTTATTAGGAACCAAGTTACTCGATTTTCAAACTTACGGTACCTTTTTTAGTAGCAATCCAAAGTTAGGCACCTAGTAACTATTTTCAGTATTTTAAGTGAACTTTACCAAATACTTTTTTTTAAATATATGCCATTTTAATTTTGGTAATTTCGAAAAAAGATATATATTTCTTATAAGAACTCTATCACACTTATAACACTAAATATTTTCTTCTGTTTCATGTTTTCTTTTGAACTTTCCAAATACTTTCTTTATGTATGTACATTATCATACTGAAGCAAATAGAAATGGATATTTATATTAAATTACTACTGAAAAATTGCATTTAGATGGCAAGAAAATATGCTAATATAATATGTTGTATTTGGATGATTCAGGCTCGGTCGATACAAAAGCACATTTTAACTTGTCATTCATAAAAATTGAATTTTTATTAATTATTTTTGTGTATTGACAAATAATGTTGACATTAGAAATATATATAATATAATACTATATATTCTAGAATAACACAGGTTATATATTATGTTATATATACAAAATTCACGAATTGGAAAGTAACACTGATTAATAAAAAAATATAAATTATGTACTAGCTGTTACCCGCTATTTTGTATGCTTTTTCTTAGATAAAAACTATGCCCGTCATTGTGATATAATGAATGTATCTGCATATCAAGTTTTATCCACTTATTTCTGAAAAGGTAACACATAAACATACAAACACGTTGATAAGGATAATTATATACATAAGGAAAGATTAATATAATTATTATTATACAGCCTCGGTGGTCTATCTATCTAGCACACCGCCATACTTGGGTTGGGGCTATTTGAATTTCCAGGATTATTATTGTTTTGTCATTCTAAACGACGTTTGTCACTTTGCATTAGGTGTCCCATTAATTAGAATAGAATAGAATAGAACATCATTTATTCAAATAAACTTAATTTAAGCACTTTTGAATAGTCATAACAATTTGTATTTTGTCTACCACTCGTTCGGAAAGCTGTCTCATCACAAGAAGAACGAGCAAGAAACTTGTGTGTTGCTCTTTTAAATAATCCTTGTAAGTTTACATTTACAAGTCGAAACGTGTGAATACAAACTACTAGCACAAATTTTTTGGGTCAAATATAAATATACAATAAGATTAAATCAGTCGTAGTGATAAGAGCAGATCAGTCGTAATGATAAGAGCGGACCAGTCCCTACAAGCAGCACTCGTTCACGAGTATGACGGATGAGCCAGCCATCACTGCGCTCGACCATATTTTAGGGAGCCCAATGACCCGGCCCATTACGCCGCCACATGTCTGGACATTTTAGTGAGCATGACTACTCATTCCACTCGACCACGTCACAGCTACAAAAATTACTATATGGTAGTTACAGTATTCGCACTTTACATTAATTTGTTTGATAGCCCAGTTACATTAAAAAAACGCCGCAATTAATAGATAAAAAACACTTTCGTTCATATTTTTTTGAGGGTTTTGGGCTATTTTCAAGTGTAAAGACCTGCAAAGATCTATTGTACTCGCCCTTTTTCAAAGTTCGCTACCTAGACCCGTCAGGGACAAGGATTGAAGGATATTCTTAGGAGCTATGGTTTTTATCTCCTCAGGGTAGAATGTATACTTTTCAAAGGGTATATTTTGTTTATACATAAGTAGACATATTATAACAATCCCCATCCCCCCCCCCATCCTAGTTGTTATAATATGTCTACATTACATTCATTCATTAGTCCACATTACTAATAATCCCCCGGGATTGTTAGTAATGTGGACTAATGACCCCATTGCTAGCAATGTACCATGTCAGATCGACCTCCACGCGGTTCCCCCTGGCAACCATCGTGATACATTCCGGTGAATTTGTCACGTTGGGCTAACTGATCAGATTTCATGTTCATCCTATCATCCTCCACTGGTGCCCCGCCTGCGTACACCGTTAGCGCAGGCGGGTCCACCATTCCATTATCATCCTTTAAAAAAACTACATAGGATGTGTAATGTTTCCTCTTCAGTTTGGCAAACTAAGCAGATTTTTGTTGAGCACAGCCTAAGTTTGCCATGTATTTATTCAATTTTCAGTGTGTTTGAGAGCCCTAGTTATGATGCATATATTGTTTTTACTGCTTACGTACTTACCCCTTAACAGACGAACATTTAGACTAGCAATGGTAAGCATTCCGGTATATACCCCAGCACTGGTAAGCACTCAGTTTTCAATGCATGCTAGCAAATCTGTAAATATTTTGTAGTGTCGTTACAACCTAGCACACGCCATCGTAAATACGTAGATCGAGATTTTATTTACAAAAAAAAGTAGTCGACTATACCCACATGGAGGCGCTAATTACGGTCATAGAAAGGTCCATAATGCATCTGCAAAGTAATTGTGGATACTTGAGCGGTTGATCATAGTTTCGTGATGCACGCGATTGTCTTTTTTCATTGGTGCATCGGACCGAGTGACGGCTGAAGAAAAACGCGGAATGAGGTTACCCGCCAACGGTATAGATCTGGAAAAAACTTCGGTCAGCGTCCGCTTTATTGTAGTAACACGTAGCCTATCAGGGGTTTGTTAAGTTATACAGTATAGACTCCAACGAATAACAGAGTCGTGATGTCTTAGATGGAGAATTATTTGTACCTATCTACGAGATCTCACATCGAGCGGAAGATATCGAAATATATAGAATTACTGAGTTATCAATACCTTATTGAGTGAATGGAGACTTATAGTAGGTACCTAGAACACAGATAGTTTACAACATTGTTTTGACGATATCGGTTGATATTCAGTGCTACATACTTGCAGCGGAGTTTGCAGGTATTATATACATAACATAAGATATAAGTTAGTTGTATGAATTTCATAGTACATGCTGTATTTTAGATTTATTTATAACTATCAATACACACAACTTCGAACGCGTGGTATTCGGAATAGATTTTTGTTTGTGAACTAAATAAATTAAAATACTATATATTACAAGAAGTTTATTGTATTATATTTTTTACAAGAGATTTGAGATTACCACTCAGACAAACGGATAAAAATTATAAAGACAGGTTGATAAAGACACATTGATTTTTTATGTGAAACATAGTACAGTAACAGAATTGTAGATAATGCATGAAATATATTAAGTACATATTATAATTTTATATAGGTATGAAGTATATAAAAAGCATCAATACGTAATGCAATAGGATAAAAAGTCACAGTATTCATTAATAAGCATCAAACAAGGTTAAATAACACATAAATAATAAATAAATAAATACTCAGAACATAATCATATAACCATTGCTATTAAATATATCAGCCCCACCTCGACGTGGTCCCCCTGCAAACCTACCAACTGAAAACCATTGGTCAATTCCTGTTAAAATTGTCACAATGGGTTAATTGATCTGCTCATTTTATCATCCTCCACTGGAGCCCTACTAAATAAACCGATAGTGCAAATGGGTGCAATGCCACCAGTCTCTTATTGACCATTAAAAAATGAAAAAAAGAAGACCCGTTGGCTTAAAAGACTTCGCTACTAAACCAATAAAAATAATAAAATAAAACAACATGGCCGACCGACTGATAGACTGACAGAAACTCCAAACAGCTGTAATGTGTCAATCATTACATCATTAAATTCCTCATACATAATATTCTATTATTCATTCGTTTACAATTTTACATCTTTTGTCATGAATTTTATTTTACTCAATATATATATTTATTAATATTATCAAATTGTACTTAATAAACATGCCTATATACAGCATGCCTCTGCTTTTATTATCGCTTTATTTAAGGTAATGTTTATTCAAATTGAAATTTATTATGTTTACTTGTTTTCCATATGTGAAAGTAATAATTTGTTGTCAACTAGTGTGGATTACGTACAACCATCAAATCTGAAGGACGCACATCAGTTCGACCTGCTTATATTCACACAATTCTGGCCGGCAACTGTCTGCACAGAATGGAAAGAGAAGAATCCGTCCCACTCGTGTGCGATGCCCACCAGACCAGACTCTTGGTCTATTCACGGCATCTGGCCGACAAGGCTCGGCACTAAGGAGCCGTCTTTCTGCAATAGAACATGGCATTTCGACCCTGAACAAATCCAGCCTATCGAAGCACAGATGCTGCAAGTATGGCCTAACATTGAAGCAGGTGAGTTGAGAAGTCATTTTATATATTTATGGCTTGTAATATCATAGATCTCTAATAACTACCCTAATAAATATCAGAACCTCTAGCTATAGCAGACATTAAAGTAGGAATCTTATTTATTTTAAATAAACATATATTTTTTATGTTCCAAGATTACAAATTATAATAATAATTTATACTAACGAGAAACCTGTCCTGCCTTTGCATGGGAAAATCATTCAATTAATTTACAGAGAATTTTAACAAATTAATTTACATTACTTAATGTTTTTCAAAATCACTCATCTATTGATGAATACATACAAACAGATACATGGTAAAGGACTTTGTTTAATAATTTAGCTCATTCAAATTAACAAGTTATTTAGTTGGTTTTGATTAATGCAGCATCCTAGCCATGTGTGTATTTCAAAATTATCTAATATTTTGTGTGATCAGTATTATAATACCTTAAAATGGGAAACCATTTCAAGGTATTATAATCAAGTGCAATAATACTAATCATAAGAAGCAAGTGGAAACACTTGCTTCAATATTTATCGGGTGATTAAGAATCAATTTCCTAGTCTAGTAACACCTCCAGTGGCATTAAGCTGTGCTGCTGAATAAAGTTATTGCATTAATAGCTTATATTTTTGATGTTTAGAAGTATCTTACATATTATTGGGAATAACAATCCAATTATTTCTTTGTATTGTAATATACATAGGTTTAAATTATGATCATAATGAATTGTTATGATTACAAATATAAATTCAGATTTATCAATGTTTAAAGTTGATATAAAAATACTTATACTGATACCATTTTCGTTTCAAATAAATGATCAGAATAAAGGAAATATTTTAGTCTATCGCCACAAAATTATAAATAGAAAAAAGTTATAATAAATGTTTTCAGTTTTAGCATGATTTAGAGTTGACTGACATGACATGTACAACAATGAATTGTTTTTGTTGAGTGTTGGCTTATGATTATGTTATTGATTAGATTATTTATTATTAAACTTTTGATAACATTACCAGAGATGTGTGCATAGGCACCTCAATATCACTTATTTCAGATGCCATGTAGCTTACTTGTGTCAGATTAGTGAAATTATATAATAAGAGATATGATATTTTAATACTCGGGGAATGGCAATGACTTAGGGTATTTTTTAGGCTAACAGATGAGCATGAGATCAGATAGCCCATCATGGTAAAGTTTCCAGGGGGACCATGTGGAGATCAACCTGACAAGGATACATTGTTAGCAATGGGATTCTCAGTCCACATTACTAATAATTCCCTTCCCACAATGAATGTGGAGTATTAGGGGTGGTCATGGGATGGGGTGGTGGTGGTCACCTTTAGGGGTGACAATGTGATGACCATAGTGCTGTTAATTTATATAGATGGTTACTGGTTAACATCAGGCAGGTAGAAAACTTGATTGACATTTAAGTTTTCATAAAAAATTGATATATTTTAGTTACATTCCAATTCTATAATTTACTACAATAGTTATAGAATCCAACTGTAATAAAAATTCACTGGAGTGCCAACTTACAATGTTAATGATTTCCTCCTATAACATTGTTCATGTTTATGATTATTCATTGCAATAAAAATTTGCCTATATTATCCTACATATGTTGGTTAAACAGTTAAGTAGTGAGTGTAACAAACAAAATAACTGTTATATTAGAATAAAATAGTGTAGATCTAGGTTCTTCTACTACTCACTAATTTGCCATATCAACTAGCACTAGTTGATATGGCAAATTAAGTTTCTTACACAAATTGCAAACTCTTCCTTTAGTTGATAACCTTTCTTTCTTATTTCTTTTCTTATTGAAAGAAAGAAAGTTGATGGCGGTAGCAAGATGTTGTTGACACACTTTGTCATTGTATTTAGAGTTGTACTTTTAAAATTACAGAAACATCAACATATGCTTTATGGTCTCATGAATGGACTAAACACGGCACCTGCGCTGCCGCGTTGGAGCCTCTTAATTCAGAATTGAAATACTTCTCGCAAGGCCTTGACTGGCTTAAAAAATATAACATGTTAGATATACTGACAGCAGCTAACATTGTGCCCACAGAAGAAAAAGAGTATCCTATTACAGATATCAATAATGCTGTTGTGGAGAAGTTGGGTGTGAGACCGCGAATTGAATGCAATAAAGTCGACGGTAAGAACCAGATATTCGAGATACGCATTTGCTTTAATAAGACCTTAGATTTAGCAGATTGTGACGGCACCAAGTATTATGATGAGTTCAATACGGTATTGACAAATTGTGATCCTTCCCGAGATATATACTACCCTCATAATGTGGCAGAACCTAAACACTTGTATGTACAATTGTACAAACTGACATCTTGGATTCAATGGTTGACACTATAATATTTTATACACCTGATACCACATAACTCGTGATAATAATTTAAATTTATTTAGTATAATATGTTAACATTAATATGAAATTACTTCCTGCAATTAAATAATTTGTTTATGTATATTTAGATTCAATTCAGTATTCTTTTTTATTGAAATTTAGAATGAATTTTATTTTATGATTTTTTAAAATTTACAATGCAATGAAATTTTATTTTATGTGATGTTTCAATATCAAGAACAACTTTAGAAATGTAAATTTAACACATATGTGGCTATTAAAATACATAATTTCATTTAACATTAGAATCTATAAATAGATTCATTTTTTTGTGTGAATAAACTAAGAAAATTGTTTTAAAGCATAATTTATATCTAAATTAGATATTAGAAAGAAATGAGAACTATTAATATCAGGTATAAGGGACATGTACCCAACATTCATATGTAGTATTGAAATATATGCCTTCCAGAGATGATTTCAGTGATTTCAGTGATTTCAGTGCCTAGTTAGACAAAAATATACTACTAATGGGTATTTGAAGACAATATATTGTTATTAATTTAAATATAAGCTATGGTAAGTGACCAGCCTTTTTGATGACTGGATTTCAGCTGAATAATTTTGCACCTTATGACAGTTGAATTTGAAGAATCAGTGTAACAACACTATACTTCAATCATGGGTTTTGCTCTCTCACAAAATGATTCTAAACTAATTGAAACACTAGTAATTTTCCATAGTGACATTTTGCACTTCTGATCTACATTTGATTGAATATTAGAAAAGATTAATTCTATTGAATTGCTGTATATTGTAATAACCTAACAACTATTTGTAAAAACTTATACTTTCAGATTCAGTGTGCAAAATCTAGTATATAAGCTATATAAGGGGACAATATAAGTATAGGCATGTGACCCTATGAGCCTAGCATGGAATAAGTATATTTTTATAATTTTCCCACTGCTTTATTCCTTAATATCTATTGACTATGGAATTATTGAAAAATCGACTGAATATACAAAATATTTATTTGAAATTGCATAAATATTTACCTATCTATAACATAGTCCTTTTAATACCTATTATTCATTCAGGTATCAAAATAAAAGTGTAGCATAATTATTGTGTACTTAAAAGAAACCAAAATAATAATTGGCACCATAATATTTTATATATTTCTTTATATTTTATATTTAAGTTTACACCGTAATGAACTTACACATGTTTATGTTCTTGGGAAATTACTATGATATAATTTGAGAAAAATTATTAGACATCTTTAAAAAACCTGTTTTATTAAACTAGATCTTAGTTTAATAAAACAGGTATTATTATTTAAAGAAAAAGTAATTCATAATTACTAAATATTTTGCATTTGTAGTTCCCAGGCATTTAGCATATAACTACACCTTTCAATTTATATTACTAATCTTCTAGGAGCTTCTATTTTATCATAGAACAACATGATGTAACTAAATGTAGATTTATTATGTAATTAAGGGATTTGTTTGTGTTTATAGGTTGTATACTAATAGCAGTGTTGCCAGATTCATTTATCAAAATATAACTATGACGAAAAATACAACATGAGGTATGAGATAAAGAAATATAAAAAATGTATACAGACACCATTAGTGATAAACTATACCTCCTTCATGAAATATATCCATTTAAATGAAATTTAATGACCTGTAATTTATAGCAGATCTGGTAACGCTGTCTTTTTTCGTTGTACCTACCTAATAGTATTTGTGGCATGACCAATATTTTTATACTAATAATTAACGATATGCCACATGAGTTTTACCTATTGTGATGTTATAAATAAAATTTATGGACTGGAAAAATTGTTTTGTTATCGCTATTTAAATAAATTAAACTATAATTATCGTAAAAAGTTTTGCAAATGAAGCTGAGCTCCTCCAGGGTGACCAAAGAATAAAATACACAAATACATTATAAATAAATACCACATACTATATAATAATTATTAACAGAAGTATTGTAAACGTAAGAGAATCGAACCCGCGACAATCTGAAGTAATCAACCTATATATACACTTCTAAAATTTATGTAAAAGCACTCTAATGAATGAAAGACCGTGAATGTTGTCTTGTCCTCTGGCTGGCTTATGGCTTAATCAGACGGAAGATGAGAATAATAAAACTATATATACATACACAAACTTTATTATTAATATTCATTTTATATTAATACCTGTTAGCCATATACCAATACCACTCGAATCAATAAACAAGCATAACTGTATCGAGATTGTTTCCACTTATTGACCTCTTGACACTATGATCACGGCAGACGGTACCAAACCTGAAAAATTATATTCATATTACTATAAAGTCACACATGTAGCGAATATCATAAAGATATGCAATAATAGTAATCTAATTAATATAAGAGGACGGGAGAAGTGGATTGTTAGTAATGTGGACTAATAACCCCATTACTAGAAATGTGCCATGTCAGTTTATCTCCACGCTGTTCCACTGCTGTAGACAATCCTCGTAAATGACAATTTGTCACTGGTGCCCCGCCAGCGTAAATCCTTACCTCTGGCGGGTGCATCATTCCATTTCAGCCATAAAAATAAATATATGAGAAGCTGGATGAGTGACGGAAGTGATATATAGAGTGAGAAGGGAATGTATGGCATGAGAGAGGAAAGTGGAAAGGGGTGAAAGTGTATACCGATATTTAGAAAATTCAGAGCCAACATCATAAACATATTTTTTTGTAATAAGAGCCTGGTAACTGTACATCTGTACCTCCGTAGACCACCAGTCGTTATGTGCGGCTGTACATTTATTTATGCAATAAAATTATGGTAACATCTTAAGTAAGTGTAATAAATAGTATTATAGAATGAAATTAATATTGAAATATTTTTACCTAATAATTCCAAAGGTTTTTCGTAATCTTCAGTAGTGAAGATTTTCTTCGGGAATGTCGTCATCAGTTTGAAACTATCTTCTTGTGCGAATTCCTGAGCATTCATTTGCAGGTATAACCTGAAGACAGAACAATTTGACAATTATCATTATTATTATAAAATAGCCTATTAACATCCATATTATTATAAAAAAGCCCATTAAGTCTTTACCTATAAGGTATTAGTCTAATATTATCATGCCTCTTAACACAAATTATGAGATTATGACTTATACAGTTTTTTTTTTCTACTTATATCATAAACAAGAAAGATTTTATTTTTATTGTTTGAATAAATAAAGATAGATAAAGTCATAAGCTACTGAACCCATTTTACAACCTATATTTTCAGCAAGTGATATGGATTTAATTTTTAAAACTTAGAGATTTGTAGTATAATAATATCAATCTATAGTATTTCTTTATGTAAATGGCAAACATGGCTCAACATACATAAACAGCGCCACATACAAAGTCTACCTCGGTAACAGTTGGACTATAAAAAAAAGTACTTTGAAATTCCTGAGAAATAGTATTATAAACAGACAAACAACTGATCCTTTAAAAGTCAGTTTTCTTCTTGTTTTTTAATTTATTAAAATAGTGACAATAATATATTAGAACAAGTCAAACAGCATCATTTAGTCCCAAACTAAGCAGAGCTTGTCTTATGGATACTAGACATATGATATCAATACATAGATATATATTTTTTTATAAACACATACATTATATGCATAGAAAACACTCAGACTGTTACAAACAATTATACTTAAGAATACAACTTTTTGTATAGTTCCAGGAATAAAACGTGACCATCGAATGTAAGGCGGTGCGCTGTGTGCTTATTGATTGTAGCCGTCAAATAGAAAAGTAAATATAATTAAAAAAATAAAATATTAAATAAATCATCGTACCTCACAGCGGCAAGTTGTTCCTTGGCGCCAAACGTGTGAGCCAAAGCTTTTCCATCAGGTAATCGAATCTGGATCCTTGCCTGTTCGTAGGACACCTTGGGGGCTGGAGCAGCGGCCGGCGGCGGGACTGGCGCAGGCGCTGCAGCCGGCGGAGCTGTCTGACCTGATGCGGCTAGTCTGAAATATTGAATTATATTTGTTAGTGAAAAATGTGGAAGCTTGACGTTAGGTCAGTCATAATTGTTGATGCTTTCCCCCAAACCATCCTAACACGACCACCCAATCACGGTGGGCTAACTGACTTAATCTCATGCTCATCCTATCATTCTCCACTGGTGCCCCGCCAGCGCAAACCGTTAGCGCAGGGAGGTCCATCGTTCCAATATCATCCACAAAAAACCTGTTTATGCTCTGAGAGTTTCTTAATGTTCTTCAGTACCTATCAGGTTCCAGGGGATGTACTATCACAATCTTACTGGTTTAACACTTAATTTAACCACTCATTTCAATTATGCTTTACATAATTGAAACGAGTGAAAGTGTTGGGCCGCTACGTCTTTTGAAATTGTAATGGTAGAGAAACAGAGGGTACACTAACCAACTACCAACATTTTTAAACACTAACAATAGCCTTAAAGATCTAACTATTTTTATACAATCGGAATGGCAAAGAAATGACGGCCCACTTCCGCGATGATTGAAGAGGTAACCATCGTCTATAATTATATGAACATAGTTATCATGAAATCTGGCTCTGGCTCAAGGACTATGCAGTTTTAATTTAATAGTGATATTATATATACATGTGTTACTAACTTCCTAGCTTGTTTGTCCGCTTCAATTTGTGCTCTAACTCGTTCTCTTGCTTTTTGGTCCTCGACCTTCTCACGACGACGCTGCTCCACCAACTTTTGCATTTCTTGCTCTTGTAACCTCAGACGTGCATCCTGCAGGTCTTTACCAGACTTGATGCGTAGACGTTCTCTTTCTAATGCTTCAGCCTAGAAGTACAGTAAAATTTGACACTGATAATCCTTCTATCCTCTATGTATATTATGTATGTATTTAAGTATTGAATCAGTTGTCAAGTACTATAACATAAGCTCTGCTTAGGTGGATCATGCGGAAAAAAATTGTTGGACCATCAATCATCAATCATCAATTGGAACAGGATATAAGAATAATAAATAGGTAGAAAGTCTACAACAATATACAACAATTGGTTACTCATTAAGTATGTAGGTATGGTGTATAGCATTCTATTACATATTTATTACTTATCACTTACTATTAATCATTTCCTATGATAAACCATGGGTTATCATAGTAAATGATTAACAAGTAGTTGTTAATAATTTACTATAAAAAATGAGTATACAGTCCTAATACAGTCAGTGCCGTGACCATAGATACAATTTTATTTACATATTATTTCTTATTTATATTAGTCTATAAGGCATTTATAATATGGAACAAATAGCCTGAATTAAATAAATAATACACTTTGTGTGTAACCCCACCCTAATTCCACATTGCGTAGGATCTGTGCTATTAGTTTTTTCACTATGTCCACTTGTTCCCATGGTAATTTTAGACAATATGTAAAATGTGTATGTGTAAGAAATAGAATGGTTATACCTACAAAATTACCAGTTCATAAGAAATTAAATTTTATAACTTAGTTGCTTGATCTGTATATTTATAAATAAGTGAATAGTCAGAATTATATATACAGTATTAGTAGTTGTTTTATCGTAACTGTTGCTTGTGACTTTGCTAATTTATAGACTATATCTTTTATCTTTAGATAAAAGGTAGTCTAGGTTCATTATTATAATACAAACTATCTTCACACTGAAATTTCACCAATATCCCAAGCTGGAAATAAATAGACAGCAGACACACAAAGATGGATACCATAAAATATATTATTCTAAGTGGCACAATACTATAAATTTTAGAACCTTAAATTTTAGAAACATGCCTGGGCTGTTGGTTGTGAATAACAGTTAAGGGTAAGTATATACATACATACAAATGCATGAATACTGACCTTTTCTTTTTCCTCTCTTTCTTTCCGTTTCAGTTTCATTCTCTCTTCAAGAAGTGCCAGTTGCGCCTTCTTTTCTTCCTCTGTCAGTGGTTTTTTCTCCTCTGTGGATTCTGAAAAACTACTGTGGTTGGTTTTCGCTGCGTGGAACTCCATTTCATCTTGACTCTTGAAGAGTTTTCCACACTCATCACATTTGAAGGACTTTGCTTCCTCTGGCTTGGTCTCCGATGCAGCGTCAGTAGCTGAAGATGGTGCAGTATCAGTAGATGATGTAGATGCAGTTGTATTACTGCCGATAGTTTGTCCACTCTCCATTGCGGGGTCATCAGCATGAGCCAATAGCCATTCCATGGCAGGTTCAACACCCTTATAATTTGTAACAGCCAGAGCTTTCTCACTGTAAGGGAAGCGCAAAACAAACACCATTTATAACCTAGCCAGAAGAGAGTAAAAATTCGCAACAAATATAATGTATTGAATTAAATTAAACTTACGCTCTTTCCTTGGAGAATCCCATTTCAACAAGAGTTTGTATTTCTGCCATTGTTACAGCTTATTTACATTTATCGCAGTACACTAAAATTGAAAAACTCATTTATCGTAAATTAAAGAATCATCACATCAGCTGTTTGGAAATAAAGCGCAGTCCACACCACAGATTAATTATTATGCTTGACAGCTGTCAGTTAATTTATTTTTTATCGTGATCGTATACTGACATTTTATACCAATTTATAACCTTCTAAACGGCATTGATTGGACACCTTATTAAAGCCAAAATATTTAATTGATACCCTAGCCTGCATTTCAGCTATAACATTTCCTAATATCTTCTATTTGGCTTATACCCACCCTAATCGAACTGGATAGTAATAACATGGCAGATTTTTAGTGCATTCATAGTTGCACTCAGAACATAAAAATATTTGAAGCTTTAAAAATTGTACAAAATTTTATGAAACTGGCCAACAAGAAGTCCTTTTCCTTTTGATATTTTATTTACTCTATGGATTGTTTGGGCGGTAAAATTTGAAAACCCCATTATTTCAAATGCTTGAATGGATCTTATTGGACAGTCTTCATATGATTTTTCAAATACACATTTAAGTATAGAGGAATAACCAAAATATTGTGGAGTTACTCAAGTGGTTTACCAAAATAAATCTGAATTTAACTCCGTATTGCATTATATTATACGTTTATTATATTGATTTATGGCTTTGCAAAAAAGAAACAGGCGAAAAAGTATTCAAAATAGTGATCCAGGCAAAATTTTAGATTTGATAATAAATTTGAATGAAGATACGTGTGCAGGGTTACAAATTAAAATAAATACATATGTTAGTATTGTTAATTTATTCATAGTTAAAGAGATAATTTTATATGATAGTTGTCTATCTATTTATCTGAATAAAACAAAATGTTTTGTGAGATCAATAATTTAAAATCGCTACATAAATATTGCCCTATATTATATATTTTGTGGGTTATTATATGTTTTGTCATCATCAGGGGCAGTAACGTAGAAATAAGTAAGGGAGCGTGGTTGGATAGTTTTGCCGATTTTTCATAGTGTTCCTGCTGATGTAGTGCAGATTTAACTCCCACCGGAACTGCTCTAGAATTACACCTAATTTTAATGTAATTTTGTATGCGATTTTTTTATATCAAAATATAGGTACCGATTTACTGGGGTAGTGCGTAGCAGGAGGTACCTCAGACCCGGTACTTAGTTTGCTTTGTATATGTGTTCTATCACCAAAACACGTCTTGTTTCGATTATGGAATATATATACAAATCGAACGCAGTAAAAATACATTCTGGTTGTCCGCTTATTAGCCATTGCAATTATATTGAAAAACTAAACTTCGAGTAACTTTCCTATTTCTATAAGAAAGCCGAAATGCGTTGATACTTTAAGAGATATTGCATATTAATGATTTGTTTTAAAAATAATAACTATAGCTGTGTGAAGAATGCGATTCGGAGTTGGTGCTACAAATTGTGGTGAACGGCGAGCGCATGGAGGCTTCAATAGAAGCGGTGGGATCATCCATGTTACCTAGAAAGCTGAAAATATGCGTAAGTAACTGACTTACAAAGCGTGGCACTTAATTGTCTATTTTATTTTCTGGTTTTAAACTCGAATGTTTTTACAACTCTGCGTGCCAGGACTTTGCTTCCCTGATGCCTTTGGGCTCGGAATCCCGTAGTAATAAGGATTAGTAGCTCCATTCATACGAATGTACTATATCAGATGAACCTCTACGTGGTCCTGCCTGGTTACTGAACAGTAGGCCTCACTGGCCAGGATGGGCCCAACTAACTTGACTTCATCCCCATCCTATCATCCTTCACTAGCTCGCCAAAGTCATCGTGCGCGCGGCGTATATATTCTATTATATATTTTTTTAATATAATATACTATATACAAAATTCTGGGTAACATAATAATAATAATCTCAGGACAATTCACACAGCGCCATCTAGTCCCAAGTTAAGCTAGTTAAAGGCTGTGTTATGGGTACTAGACAACTGATACAAATATATGGATTATTTTTTCGTAAATATATACATACATACTATACATAGAAAACACCCAGACCGATACAAACAATCATACTCATGAATACAAATGTTTGCCGTGCGAGGAATCGAACCGCGACCATCGGAAGTAAGGCGGTGTTCTAAACCGCTAGACCACCGAGGCCGACGACACAATAATATATAGTATATTATTGTGTCGTCGGCAATAATATATAGTATACAAAATTCTTGGTAAAATAATTAGCAAGATACCCAGTTAATTTGCACCGCATACTTTTAGATGTCTCAAAAACTGTGCGATGTTCTAAAAACGCCGATGGAACAAACGGATCTGTTGTCCAACTTCGAGGCGGACTTTCAAGCGATTGTTTCTCCAGTAAGTCAAATAAGTAGAAAATAATTTTATGATATATTATTTAGGTACCCTAAGGTCTCCGCTGAAAATCAGCGCTATAGCTTTGGCAACAGCAATATGCTGAGGGGAATCCTTTTTAGCAAATATTCCTTAGTAATATATTTACTTTAACACTTATATTTGCATTTATTTAAAAGATTTTAGCAAACATTCCTTAGTATACTTAGAACAACATTTATTTAAAAGAGCAACGTGCAAGTTTCTTTCTCGTTGTTCATGTGATGAGTCTGCATTGCGAATATGTAGTAGAAAAAATGTGATTATTCGACAGGGCTTATATTTATTTGACTAAAGATTACTTCAATACCTATCTATTACGTAAATATATATGTCAATACTAATATGCTCAGATAATAATAATATATAAATATATAAATACTATAATAGATATAAATATATACAAAATATAATGTATATATGCAACAAACAAAGAAATTACTAAAATATATTGTATATGATAACAGCAGGCAGCAACACAAATTTTTTTCTTTCAGAATATTTAATTATAATAATTTATTTATTTATGTCTACTCAGAAACATGGATGGCAACAAATACTTATAGTAATTTTGATAATACAATTCATAAACGATAGATCCCCCGTCTCATTCAAACGGGGATCGAAATTACGATGGCTTGAGCCGAGATTCGAACTCCTAGCGGTGTCCTCAGACTAAAGTCGTATCCGTCAGGCAGGAGTTAGCCCTCAACCGCTCCATAAGTCCTTCCGCGGGTTTGCAGTGCCATCTGCACTCACCCCCTATCGTCCGGCGAAGCTGTAAAGGTCAGCTGGGGCCAAAAGCATTACATTAGTCCGAAAAAAATATTTTTTTTTACCTACAATCAATATGTTGTAAGGAGCTAGTATAACCCAAGAGAGATCACCGAGTTTCCTTTTACAATTAAAAGCTTACTTTCAAACACCAAACAATACCCAGAATACGAAATAAGCACTTCGTATTCTGCGTATTGTAATGTGTTCTATTTATATAAATTCTATAATTGCAGTTTATCCAAAAGGATACTGCGAAGAAGCGAATCGTGATGTTCCCAGTGCTGGACAAGCCGTTTTCAGTTGTGACATGCGTGGTTGCACCGAGAATTGTTGAAGAGCACGTAGCTGTTCTCATACACGAGTGTTTCTTGTACGTTTACTATTATCTGATTGGACAATTTTAATAAAAACCATTTGTTTGTTTAACTGAAATGTCAAGCATTCTCACAGCTTTTCTAGTGGAGTGGTAACCGTTACGCCATAATCTTTACATAGTATAATGCTACGTTTACATTCAGCCGCTTCCCCTGCCACTCGCGCTGCCGGAAATACTGCCGGGCGACAACTGAGCGAGAAGGCTGAATGTAAAAACACGCTGCCACTCGCGCTGCCAGTCCTTTGATTCGCATACTAAAAACCGACAATCGAGGGAGCGCCGGGCAGCAGGAGTGGCAGCGCCAATGGCATGGGAAGTGTTTACACTCTCGCGCTGCTCACTTCCGTGCTCACTTCCCTGCCCACTCGGGCCGAGAGTAATTTGGGCATAAAATGAAGTCGCTTCCGTTGACTGTTCGTTTAGATCTAAATCTTTAAACTACGCAACGGATTTTAATGCACAGTCAAGAGGTAGGTTATATGTATAATGCGTGTGCTAAAGCGCTAGACCACCGAAGTCGTCTAGTCATAACAACTCGTTGTTTCTCTATAAGGCAAAGGCATGTGTGACTGATAAAATGATGATTTCTTCTTTACCATAATATTTTATTTTATTTTTATTTATAACTAGCTACTCGTCCCGGCTTCGCATGGGTGTACATGTATTATATATATAAACCATCCTCTTGAATCACTGTATCTATTATACATAGGGACGGACAGACAGTGACAGCGACTTTGTTTCATACTATGTAAATTGATGTATGTTTGTAAATTGATGAATTGATGATTTATTACACCAAGGTTAAAAGTAGTTACATTGAAAAATATAACATTAGATTAAAAAAAGATAAAATCTATAAAAAAAATATTTTAGATTTTCGTGGCCAGCATTGAAGAAAAGCATATGCTACGAATACGAGTGTTCACTCAAACAGAAGTGTCAACAACTCCTAAGAGTAGCAAGAAGATTATTCACTCAGGTAAGATGCTGGTATATGAGGTGATGATATATGGTTGTAACACACTCGTGCTTAAACAAAATATCTCCTTTGGAAAGTATACACTCTATCCTGGAGATATGAAAACCATCGCTTATAAGAATATTCTTCAATTCTTATCCCAGATGGGTCTAGGCCGCGAATATACATACATATGTAAATCGGGTATATACATATATATACATTCGCATACTATGCGAGAAATCGATCCCGCGAAACAAAGTTAATACAAAAAATAAAGTATTTTAAACCGTAAGCACCGAAGTATTCATATCTCCCTAAGCTTAAAAAGAAGTATGATTAATGTTTTTCCATATATAATAATTCTAAGCTAACTTTAAAAAACTGTGTAGGTGGCATCTTTAGATACCCTACTACAGATAGCAATGGAACAAGCCAAGCAGCTCACAAAGGCTGAGTACTGCGCCGTTATGTTAGTTGATGTGGAGCGAATGGAGCTGGTTGAATCTTGTTATAAGGTATACAATTACAATTGTACTGACTGCATATCCATTTAATTAAATATGAGTACGTAGTGATTTCTTTTGATTGACACCCCTAACCCTTATTAATATGTATTTACTTAGAATTTAGAACAACATTTATTTAAAAGAGCAACACGTAAGTTTTCCCCATTCTTCTTGTGATGAGTCTGCGTTCCGAATAAGTGGTAGATTAAAAAAAATATGACTATTCAAAAGTGCTGATATTAAGTTTATTGAATAAAAAATATTTCTATGTCTATTGAATTTCTTATAGCTTAGCTATATAGCTTCCCTCTCCCCCATCGATTGATCCCCCGTCCAATTCAAACGGGGATCGGAATTACAACAAACCCCTTGCGGTGCCTCAGACTAATGTCCTATCCGTTAGGACAGTACAGCTGCTCCATAAGTTCAAAAATAAAAGTGCAGATGACACTCCAAACTCTGCGGGTTTGGAGTGTCATCTGCACTTTAAGTTTTTTAAAACAACAGTGATTTAAAAGAGCAACACACGAGTATCTTGCTCATATTTCTTGTGATGAGAATGAGTAGAAGAACCAAAAATTTTGACTATCCAAATATCCTTATATTAAGTTTATTTCAATAAAGATTGTTTCAATTTAATTTCAATAACATATTCTATTTCAAGGATGACAAAGAAGTAATTGAACGCCGGTTTCCCCTAAACATGGGTATTGCAGGATATGTGATACAGAGCGGAACGGTGGTGAATGCTAAATCAGCGAAAGAACATCCAGCATTCGACCCGAAAATCGATGGCTTCCCTGCTAAAGAGTGCAAGTACGCATATAACTAATATAGATTTTAATTAGTCGATATTTGTGTTCTTGGAGATCTTTGGGGAAGGCTGCGATGATGATGATGATGATGATTTTTCTCTTTATCTATCTGCGCTCAGCCAATTAGCTTTTATCAGATTTGATTGCTTTCGCTTTTTGTTCGTCTTTATATACCTACATCTGCTGTTTTAAATCGTAGCCAGACGTGACCTTACGTTGCTCAAGTCTTTGCATGTAAGCCTTACAGGAATGTTCTTCGTGTACCGTAGAATCTCTATATATTCCCGAACCTCCTTGTTTTTTATGTACCAAGGTGCATTGATTATAGTTTTTAGTATTTTATTTTGTTAACGCTGTGTTATTTCCATATTGGAATGACTTGCCGATCCATAGTTCTATACAATTAGTTACTACTATATGTAATATTATGTTATCTGTGCTACTATATACACTTTTTATTTTGTAGATACATTATGTATCATTTACCACGTTAAGAGTTAGAAACTGCATTCTTGTTAAAACAATTTTGATAGAAATCTTAATTCCTAATTATATTTCTTCATTTACATAGGATAATATTTATGCCTTAACAATAAAACTTAATTGTTTTTCTCTTTTTTAATACAATTATTTTATTGTACACTTTTAAAGCAGTGTCAATCATAAACAATATTATATATATAATTGCCAGACAATTCAAACAAAATAGCAGTGCCATCTAGTCCCAAGTAAAGCAGACCTTGTGTTATGTGTACTAGAAAACTAATATGATATGAACTTAGATACTTTTTTTGTAAATACATTCATAATATATTTAGAAAATGCCTAGACCTATACAAATAATCACAATTATATGTGTTTGTACCGCCCAAAGAACCGAACCTGCGACTATAGGAAGTAAAGCGGTTATGCATAAGTACTCTAGCTGTGCCCGCGACTTTGTCCGCGTTTTATAGTGATCTTTACCAAATATAGAAAAAATATTTTTTAATAATCTAACCCAAAAAAGGCAAAGAAAAAAGATTCCTCGTTATAAATTAAAAAATGTCGATTTTCTATACACACTTTCATCTCCTAGTTTTTACCCCCTTAAGGGTAACAATTTTATAAATTTAGTCATATTTATTTATATTCAAACAACAACCTAAAAAATAAGTTTCCAAAATTCTAGTTTTAAAAATGACGATACTTCCATAGAAACCTTCATCTCCCCTTTCAACCCCTTCAATCCTTTATAAAGTAGGCTATGTCTTTTATCAGGGTCTAAACTACCTGTGTACCAAATTTCATTTAAATCGGTTCAGTAGGTTTGGCGTGAAAGCGAGACAGACAGACAGACAGAGTTGCTTTCGCATTTATAATATAAGTAAGGATAAGGATTTATAGTCATACAAGTATAATCTTCCAGAACAATCCTTTGCTTTCCAATTCGAGAGCAAACGGGCATCATTGGAGTTGGTCAGCTGATAAACAAAATTGGCGATCCATACTTCGATGCAATGGACGAGGAAATGGCGCTCGCTTTCAGCATCTACTGCGGTGTGTGCATCACCCATTCTGTTGTCTACCAGAAGATACAGGAAGCTCATATTAGGAATACATTGGCCAATGAGCTGGTTATGTATCATATGAAGGTAAGACGAGAAATTCAGGTAATAAATACCTCTATACTTATCCCACATAGAATACTATAGTATTTTTTTATAGCGGGATTTGGGCTATTCGTGACAGAATCACAAGATTATTTCATCAGCCAGCAGCATGTCCGGGTAAGGAGCGTATGCCTGTACTGTTATATTTATACTGGCAATACTAATTCTATGTTAGATTCTGGCAACAATAACCACAACTCTTTGATATTGGTCTACTGTTCCATCTACTACTCGCTCTGTACAATTTAATTAATATTTACATAAAGTATTTAGTTCTATGTTCAGTGTTAATTCCTAAATATGACTGCATCAAAATATGTACCAAGTGGTTCGTAAGGGCCTGCGGATGACCCGAACTGGACAAAGCTAATAATAGCCTAATGCTTTGAAATTGATGATTTGTAGGTAAGCGACGTAGAAATGAGTCGTGTATTGGAGTGCACCGGTTTCCACAACCATCCGCATATACCCAGTTTGCATTTCAACCCTCGTGCGCTGCCCATGCGCGAGCTACCATGCTACGCGGTCAAGATGTTCTCAGATCTCGGCTTTGATAAGAAGTAATTTGATATTTAACTATATTTCTCGTGAGAACACTGTGCTATAGATCTATTATAGAAAAAAAAATCTACTTTTTTTATACACGACGGTGGAAGTATAGGGCCTAAATGATGGTAAATCAATATGATGAACCAGAGGTGTCACATGTGCGTTGTCGATCCTTATAACTTACCTACCTTAATATAGGTACCGTTCTTGAAAACTCGTACTGTGTTTTCAAGGCGATAGAATTTATTTTTTCAGATATGAGTATAAAGTGCACCCATCGTCGCTAACGGTTTAAGATGGCGGCGCATAAAGAATGATAACATGAATATGAGCTCAGGTCCGTTAGCCTACTGTGACAAATTCACTAGGTATTTATCAAGATAGTTTCCAGGGGGAACCACGTGGTTTAACGTCGTACATTATTAGCTATTAGGCCACTATATCTCATTACTGACAATCCTCTCTGCCGGGGAGAAATAGTGGTAATGTGGACTGATGACTCAGCTCAAGCTATGCGTATCCTCAACACAGAGGGTTGTGACATACTGCAGTCGCTGCCCCGCAGGGACTATGATAGGGCTATCATGCTGCTCAGAGATTTTATTCTTGCTTCAGATTTAGCTAATTATCTCATTACTGACAATCTTCTCTGCCGAGGGGAAATAGTGGTAATGTGGACTGTTGACGCCAGTGATGCATTTGCCTGCATTTTTGTCTAATATATTCTGTGACCATTCTAGTCATACTTACCTCTATCTTTACGTTACTAAGATGGCTGATCTTAGTAACGTAAAGATAGAGGTAAGTATACCACGATATCTTATAACGGACTGTTGACGCCATTGGTAGTACTTTGCTATCGATGGCGTCAACAGTCCACACTAGGTACTAACATTTCCCCCCGGCAGAGAGGATTGTCAGTGATGAGATAAAGTGGCCCAATAGCTAATAATGTACGACGTTAAACCGACCTACATATATTATAAACCTGAAAGTGAGTCTGTCTGTTTGTAACTTTCTCACTAGTAATCGGCTGATCTTAGTTACGTAAAGATAGATTGAAGTAGGTGTGACTAGAATGGTCACAGGTTATATTTGGCACAAAATACAGATATTAAAACAGATGTTTTTTTTTTAATTTCATCAGGTTTAAAATAAGTCGGCACAAGATAGTCCGGTTCGTACTGCACGTGAAGAAGGGATACCGCGATGTGCCATACCACAGTTGGCTGCACGCGTTCAACGTTGCGCAGTGGGCGTTTGCAGCTATTACCAACTATAAACTTGTGCAGCATGGTTTCTTCAGGTAATGTAGGATAATATCTTCCATTTTTTATCATTCCAGGATACACTTATTATAATGTCCCAGGATAAATCACACAGCGCCATCTAGTCCCAAGCTAAGGAGAGCTTGTATTATGGGTATTAGACAACTGATACTTAGATATTTTTTTGTAAATACATACATATATACATATGAAAAACAGACAGATCGATACAAACATACTCATGAATAAGAAATGTTTGTACCGGGTAAGGAATCGAACCATCCGAAGTCAACCGCTGGACTACCGAGGCCAACTTTTATTACATTTCTGAATAAAGTAAATAATAAAATAATCATTAATGAATAAAGCTTATGGTAAAAGATTAGTTAGGAGACGAGCTGGCCTGCCTGGAGTTAGTTGTTCAGAAAAGGGATATCGATATCTTAAATATTTAATATTCTAATGCAATATCTTTATTTTAATGGTTGATAATGGAATGGAGCACACGTGTGCGCTAACGGTATATGTACACTGGCGGGGCATTATTGGAGGATGATAAGATGAGCATGAACTCAGATCAGTAAACCCAAACTGCCAATTCCGCCAGGTTATCATGATGGTTACCAGGGGTGCCACGTGAAGGTCAAGTCGATATGGAAATTTGGTAGCAGTGGAGTAAATAGTTCACATTACTAACAATTCGTTCCCCTAATGTGATAATAAATAATATTACGTGCAGTGATCTCCAAGCTCTTATGTACCTGATTGCTGGATTGGTACACGACCTCGACCATCGTGGAACCACCAACAGTTTCCATATCCACGGCCGTAAGTCGTCTTAATTTTAATCCACATCAAAAAAGAAAGAATTTCTCATTCTGACTTTATTTTTTATGTTACCTCTGAAGTATTTTTCCACTTTTATTTGAAAGATTTTTTATTTGAAAGTAGGTATTCCCTTGTCTTGTCATATTAATTTTATTTAGGATCTCATTAACAATATATGTAGAAATCCATAGTATCTATTATATAATAATAATGCCCCTGAACAGTTCACACAAAGTTATCTAGTCCCCAGCTAAGCAGAGCTAGCGTTATTCTTACTAGACAACTCATATAAATACTTAGATACTTTTTTTGTAAATACATATGTAATGACCGATACAAACAATCATACTCATAAAAACAATTGTCTGTACCGCAAGAGCAATCAAACTTCCGACCATCGAAAGCAAAGCAGTGTTGTAAACCTGTAGAACACCGAGGTTTTCATAAATATTTTCCACTGTCCTGTTTAGCTATAGATTAAATTATTTCCTGTGACAATAGAAACAACACTGGCTGCCCTATACTCAAGCGAGGGTAGCGTGATGGAGCGGCATCATCTAGCTCAAGCTATGTGTATCCTCAACACAGAGGGTTGTGATATACTGCAGTCGCTGCCCCGCAGGGACTATGATAGGGCTATCATGCTGCTCAGAGATTTTATTCTTGCTTCAGATTTAGCTAATTATTTCAAGTGAGATCATTTTGTTATTTTTAATTAATTGTAATAAAATATACATTCACGACCGTTAGTTACATGGGAGTAGTCTTTGTTGGTCCACATATTTATCAAATAGATAACTCTGTGTTCTCAAGAGAGCGATTGTGTTTTGTTTGTCCGTTGTTTATATCGATATTATAATAAAAAAATATAAAACTAGTAAAAAATATATAATTACAATTTATTTACAATTTAGTGTTTCATAATTATTTTCAACCTATTTTGATTCATGTAATATCCCTGAGTATATAAAAAAATTAAAATACATTGCCTATATATACAACTCATTTTACTTTTTGAAACGGGATGTTTCAGAAACCTGAACGATTACAAAGCGATCTCTATGGATTATCAGAAAGGAAACAGAGTGCATACTGTAGCGTTGCAAGCGCTTTTAATGAACGCAGCCGATCTCAGCGACCAACTGAAGGATTGGGGCAGCGTTAAAAAGACCGCTGTTAGTATTGGCTTGATATATGTTATAATAAGTTTTAATAAGTTTACAAGAAAGAAATTATGTAAAACGTTTATTTTCGTTATTTTTAGCTAGCTAACATTTTTATATAAAAACAAGATAGAAAAAAGTATTTAAATTGGAATAACAAACAAGCTGAAAGCTTTTCTGATAGAATGTGGCAACCGATACCTATATATGTACATAAAATCTCCCAAATACGTCACTAGTTTTAAAATTAGGGTAACCCTAAATATTAGCTGAAGGTTAGCTGGTAGAGAATGCCATATAGGATTAAGCTTGTCTTTTTATTATGCAATAAAGAACAAAATAAAATTGTGTAAAGTTCTATTTCTAGTATTTGTTAAGTTTAAATTTGCTGTTATCATCTGCTCTCATTGGCTTAAATTCAGTTCTTCGGCGGTTAATGCGCCCGTAGTTGATACCGGAGCAAAGGGGCCCAGAGGTCCCACCTAGGCAGTCCTAGAGTAGTGTAAAGAAGACGTGTCTATCAATCAAATAGGTAGGGTAGAAGTAGACAACTTACCTCGATAAATTAGTATAGAAATGCTTGTAATATATGTTTTCTTTCTATTATATTCTAATGCTGTGATTTCATCCTATATTCGTAACAAACACAGTTAGTGACCGACCGAACTTTAGGTTAAGGCTGAAACTGAGTTCGATGTCCGAAATTCGGTCTCGGTTTCGTTCGTAAAAAACCAGTTTCGTTTGGACACTAGTAGAAGGTACGTCTAATTTGTCTAGTTACATAAAGAAACATCCAGCCAGTTTCGATTTAAGGCTAAATACAGTTTTAGATACTGTGAGACAGTATCTAAAACTGGTTCTAGTTATAAGGTATATAATGAAACAGCAGATCATTGATCACAGGCAGCTGTGCTGACGGAGTTCTTCAATCAGGGAGATGTGGAGAAGAGCCGCGGTGGTCTGCCGTCCATCATCATGGACAGGGAGAAGTGCTTCATCCCAGATCTCGAGATTCATTTCATGCAGACAACGTGCATACCTCTATTCGAGTAAGATCAGTTTAGTCTAGATTAATTGCCTGCCTAATCTTTGTTGTAATGTATATTTACTTTATTTACACGTAAGTTTATTGTTAATTCTTCTTGTGATGAGTCTGCAAAAGAGCTTATTTCTTCTTAAAAGGCCAGTAACGTACTTGCAATTACCCTGGTGTTGTGTGAGCACCTGCAACCTCTGCACCTCTTTTGCAGACGCATTATTGATAATAACTTATTTATTTTACATAAAGGACTTATGATTAAATTGATTTGACTTTCTTCAAGCCAGGCCTCTTATATGATAGGCACAGGAAGAAGCGAGTATTTTAGTCAGCAATTATTATTACACACTTTTTCTCACAAGTTCACATCCATATCTCACATCAACCGAAATAGTGTATAAAAGAAATTGCTTGACCTCAGAAACAGGACAAGTACCTACTATGTATGTTGAAGTAAAAAACATTCCGCATTATTAAAAACTACTATACAAATTATTGCATGAACTAAAATAATAATGCAATATAAAATATATATTTTTCTATGTTTAGTGTACTCGGTCGTATAATTCCCAAGGCGGTGGCGTGCACGAAGATAATTGAAAATCATATGGAGAGATGGGAGGCTGCTAAGCCTGTATTTGCAGAGGTAAACTGCTTACATGCGGGGGAAAGCTGATTGTTACTAATGTAGACTATTGTACCCATTACTAGCAATGTACAATGTCAGGTTGGCCTCCACGCGGTTCCCCCTGGAAACCATTGTGATAAATTCTTAGTGAATATGTCACGATGGGCTAACTGACCTAACCACATGGTCATCTTGTCATCCTCCACTGGTGCCCCGGCAGTGTAAACCGATAGCGCAGGCGGGTGTACCATTCCATTATCATATATATAAAAAAAAACTGCTTACATGCTATAAAAAAATGTACTCATAGATTCGTCGTAACGACGATACAAAATGCGACGTTACGAAGCTAATGACTGTACCACCCCTAGTCAGAGGGAGGGAAAGGGGATTCTTAGTAATGTGGACTGATGACTGCATTGCTATTGAGTCAGGTTGACCTCCAATTTGTCATGATGGGCTAACTGAACTGGCCTCATATTCATCTTATCTTATCATCTTCTACTGGTGCCACGACAGCGTAAACCGTTGCAGGCGGGAGCACCATTCCATTATCATCAATAAAAAAACCCTTTACTTAAATTATTAGGTTCCGCCAACGGCCGGTCTGTCTGTACTCCTAAGTCCGGAATTAGACAACTTGATCGAACTTAATCTGAAAGAGAAGGAACGCCTACGCATCGAGGCTGAAGCGGCCACGGCTGAACAACCCACTGAATAACCATCATTTAGTAATTATAGTATACATGGTGTTCAAAAATGTATTGCAAATAATTTAAATGCGTAAAGAATTTTTTTTAATATAACGTAAATTATAAAGATACTTCTAAATGGTTTCTATTACTACTTTTTGGTACCTTACTTATTGTTTACTTTAATAGTATTCCAATTTTTAATTGCAGAATATATTACTCTATATGATCCATATTTATTACTGAGAAATAAATACCTTATCACATATTTTCAGTTTAATGGTCTTTTATATTTTATTTTATTCATTACTGTGATTTTTTTACTTTATAAATTGTAATCTTTTCAAAATTGTTTATTTGACATTGAGAATTGCAAACTGTTAATTAAATAAATGATATTGAATGTATTAATAAAACACTTGCATATTTATTTCATTTTTACATTATTAAAAAGCTTCATTTAATCTCCAGAAATTACAATAAATTCAAGATTAGTGTCTATGACTGGTATTGATGTAGTTTATAAGAGATCTAGTGACTGATTATGTAACATTGTATCTAGGGTTTTTAATTTATAATTTATTGTAATTTTATGTATAAACGGTTGCAAATATAAATGGAACTGTACGGCTCAGTTTGCAATTGAAGCTTTTAATAAAAAGGAAGGATTGCAACAACATTACATAATCCAGCCCTTCTGTTAGAAAATGAAATGAACTCTATCTGTACCTTAATAACAGCACCACCAGCTTTTTATGTAACGAAATTAACAATTCTAAGTATTATATAGATTTGCAAAATCCGATGGGTATATTGTATAGTTAGTTTTATAGGTTCCCTGTATTACGGTGACCACATGCTTACATACTGTTATGAAAATATAACAATATATATTTGTATTAATTTGGTTGCCAGCTATAAACAAGAAGGATTTGCACTCATAACTGTGAAATATTCTATAGATAATTGCAAATCTATACGCCTGTTTCTATGAATTCTTAGCAAAAGCGTTACATAAACAGTAGGTTCAACTCACATTAAAATTATGAGCTTGGCCTATAAACTCTAAGTATTTTTACACTACATACCACTATATATATTATATTATACACTTATTTTTTAAACGCTAACGGAATAACAATGTCATATAGTAAAATAATCACTGGACTATACATTAAGTATTAGGAAATCGTCAAAGTTCTAATTTCGCGCAAGTAAAAGCTATTTTACTGGAGAGTTATATGATTTTACAAAAACTAATTATTGTATTTTTTTTTTTGTAAGAACGAACACTGCCTAAATTTTGACTTGAGCGAAATTAGAAAATCAATGGTAAACAAGTAAATATATATAAATAGTTATTAATTTATTACCCTGAATAACTTACACAACGTCGTCTAATTCCAAGTTAAGGAGTTTTATTATAGCTATTAGGCAACTGATGGACATATCTAAATATACTTTCTGTATATACAAATATTAGTAGATAAAATAAAGAAACTCTCTGTTTCTGTTGATAATATTACTACCCTTATCTTAAACCTAAGGGCGAAACTCTGATGAAAAACAAGAAGTAGTGTGTCAGAGGTATTTATATGTACATACAACTTAAGTACAACAAACGCAGTTTCACACTGGTACAAAATAACCACAAATCTGTTATAAATAAAGCAAAATAGATATATTTTAAATAACGTTTTAAATAATACGTTTTTAAATAATAACGTTTTTAAAATAAAATGTTACGTGCACATACACGTAATTGATTTGTCGTACAAAAGGTAAAAAATAAATTTTTAATGCTACAAATATCAAAACAGTAGTAAAATTATTGTATTATAAAATACATCACAGTAATTTGAATCCGAGTCTTGTTTTGCACCTACATTGCTTAAAAATATTACGAAAATATAAAAACACTGTCAAAATTTATCAAACATTGCAAACCATATTAAAAATTAAATAGCTTAGCAATTTAAAGAACTAAATATCAAATTATCGAGGAATAAGAGTAATATAAGTATTAAATTTCAGACTAATTTCTTTTCATTTTATACTATTCGGTATTATGTATAAATATAAAAAAATATATTAAATCCTTCGCAAGCAAATAAATATTATAAATAATAATAAATATTTACAATTATTTACTGTGTTATATTAGCTCATTAACATTTATTCTAGAATACAGTATATCTACTTTATCGTGTAGGTACCAAATTGTATTTTAATATCTGTCGCGTGAAACATTTTCATGTTAGTAATATTATTCAATTAAAAAAAATTAAAAGTATATATGATTATAGTACTCTAACCCTTTCAAAGCTGAATAATACGTTTGTGAGTTTTAAAGCGAATGTGAAGTCCAGAAATTTTGATTACATAATATGTATAATGTTAATTATCATATATTTATCCCACATGTTCTAATGATCATTTATACAAAATATACATACATATTATATAAACATCCTAATGAAATTCTATAGATGCCAGTGTAGACATATGATACACATACACTTACGCCGAATCTCTCACCCGATATATCGACGCTGTTACAAGTCTTCCTTAATTATAGATCGATCTTCGGTTACATAATTCGAAGAATCATAGATAGTATTATTATTAGAATGCTAAACAAGCTGATGACCTTACGGTAAGTACGGTAAATGGGAAGTATCGCCTATATACATAAAAAAAACCATGGATTAACTGATGGACATCACGTTATCATGTGAGGACCTTGATGCAACTCATGTAATGTCTTTCCGGAAGGATTAGATGTCATGCCATTTTTTTCTGTAATTTCACTGCATAATCTCACCCTACAATCGGACAAACACCATACAACAGTTTACAAAGCAAGCTACTTGACGGCTGAAATAACCAGTTTATTAAATATTTAATAAATATTTGTAAGTATTTATTAAATATTTATAAGTATTTATTAAATATTTATAAGTATTTATTAAATATTTCTAAGTATTTATCAAATATCACGTTTATTTAATTTGTACATTTATAAACTTCGAAAAATCTTTTAAACAGTGGTCATATGTAACTTCCAGACATTCCCATTATCATATCATAAGTGAAACACGGTCCATAGATTAAACAAGACGCTACGAGTCTACTATTATCTATCACAGACTGATACTAAACGTTCTTTGGTTAAAAAATCTCAATATTATATTTAATGAATGCATTATTTTACAGTATAAAATATGTTACGGTAACTACACTTATTTTATTTAATTAACAAATTCAATTGTATATTAATTTATCAATATAAGCACTTATTCCTATCACCATTTGGTGTAAGTTGACAGTTCTAATCACGTACATTCATAGAGAATGCCCTCTATATCTTACTATAAATAAAATAATATGGAGCTATTACATAATCACTCGACATTCCTGAAAATATAGGCGGGAAAATCAATATTTGTAAATTACTTAAAATTATAATATAATAAATCAGTAATTTGAATTAAATCAATGTTTCATTAAAACTTATTGATACATAAGAATATTTGGTAATATATTAATTTGTATTATATTATATTTTGTGACATATTGCAGTTACCCTATTAGCCCATTCTCTTTGGGTAGGAGTAGCTCTTCTACGAATTCCTGTACCATTCCCCTCATCTTAATATCCATTTCTTCCTGTTCGCTGTAACAAATATAGTAATAATTAAAAATGAATGTCAAACTAAAAAACTACACGGTTACAGCTCAATCCATTACTTGAAAATTTAACATGTATTATCTGTAATTTAGCCTCTATAGTTTATCCTTATAAATGGGAAAATAACTTTGTCTGTCGCGCTTTCACTACAAAACTACTGAACCGCTTAAAATGAAATTTGGTACAGATAGGGTACACCCCAGAAAACCTACTTTTGAAACGAAAAATGGGTTATAAAGTTAAAAGTAGTGTTAAAGACTCACGTGCGTGTAGGTGCGTTACACACGAGCTCGGCATAATACTTGAGCTTGGGTTCGGTGCCGCTGGTGCGGACGGTAACTGTAAGTCCGCCATCGCACGAAAACATCACCATCTCGCCGCTAGTGTAGTCCTGGTCCAGACCGGTGCCTAGCACCTCTGTATAAATAAAATAAATAAATAAAAAATCATCAATAGTCTGTAATTAGTGAAATAAAGAGGCTGCGGGCCATACCACATACCCGTTTACTGTGCAATATCGACAGCCGACAGCGATAATGCCGGACACATGCAATTTCATCTCATAATACATTTCACCTCATTACATTTATTCAACCTAGGCGGTTTTATAAAAAAAAACATATCATTAGCACGGAACTGTGGGCTTAAACTTCACTTTCTTCGGTCCTTCGAGCCGGATATAAATAAAAAATTACGCATTAAATGAACAATGAAATACTCACTTAAATGTCCATCCCCATTGACGTCTTCAGGCATTCTAAACCCAGTCTTGTGGTCAATTATTTGTACTATTTCACTGGTACCAACTTTCTTCGGATACTACAAATTGAAAGCATTTGATTGAGTTGAAAAAACATTCAGATAAAATGCAATAGGGACAACAATCGAAATTTTTTTCATTAAAAAAAACCTACCTCTCCAGGTACGGTGTAGTTCCTGATTCTTCTAAATATCTTCTCAATTATTGCCGGCTCGTGGCAAATATAGTATGAATTGTGTGTGACATGGTACCCATACTCTGCATACAAGTTGACCAGTTGCTCTGCGAGTGAAGATCCTTTAGAATAGAGATGAGACGCTAGTGACGCCACCTGGAGTGGAATATTTCAAGTATTTTTTACTTAAATAGACACAGACAATGTCGTTTTGGTTTTAACATTAACAGCCGTAATCAGAGATGTTCCTTAAATTATAGCTAACGAATATTTGATTAAGTATCATTAAATCTGTTGATGAGCCGTTCCTCCCAGAAGTAAAAATTTAATGATTATTGTATTGTAATCTATTTTAATTCCATATCTGGTTACCTGTACAGCGGCCGATACACCATCCTTATCCGGCACTCGATGGTTGCACATATATCCGATTGCTTCTTCGAATGCAAACAACGGCAACTTGCCTTGCTGTGCCAATAGCAACGTCGTGTTTCCTGTAATAAATAGAAACATATTTCATAAGTATGTATGGGAATAGCTTATTAATTTATATGCTGTCGAAGTGGGAGCGAGAGGTATAAAAGCGAAATCTCTACAATCTTCTAAAGCATCTTAGCCGTTCTAGAAAGTCTGGGCAGGAAGAGAAACACGAGCGGTGAAGGTGAGGGTTGACGTATGTCCGCAAAGGAGACCCTTAAATCTAAACCCAGTTCACAAGTCCCGGGAACTGCCCAGAGTCTATTAGAGGACATGTCGTAGGACAAATTGATGAATCGAGACAATAAAATAACCAAATACTAAGTTAATTTGTCTATCAGAATAAAGACTATAAAAAATTCTATTGTATTTAACAATATTGTTTTTAGGATATATTAAAATAATGCGTACCTTATGTAATACTGTAATAATGTACCTTTCGATAAGTAAAAAGATCTCAAATTTCACTGTATCAACTTCACATAAGGTACACTATGTTACTACATACAAATCAATTTATTGAAATTAATTAAATTTATTTTAAAAATTTTAACTAATAGCATTGTAGCATGTCAGGCTGGCCTCTACGCGGTTCTCTCTAGAAACTATCGTGGTAAATTGCTATTTGTCAAGATGGGCTGATTGATGTGACTTCATGTTCATTTTATCATCTTCCACTGGTGCCTTACCAATGTAAACCGTTAGCGCATGTGGGTGCATCATTCCATTAATTATCCATAAAAATAATAGCATATGAGGTAGCTCACCCATCCATTTAAATCCTGTGAGGGTTTCAACGAATTCTCCCTTGCCCCGCACGAGGGCCCTCAGCATCTTGGAGCTAACGACGCTGGCTATCAGGTACACCTCGCCGGCTTCACCTCGCGCTTCATGCTGCTGCAGTAGCCACCAGCCTAGCAACGCTCCCATCTCGTTACCAGTGAAGATCTTCCATGATTGCTTGCTAAATAATAATAACCCAGGTTTTAAGTTACAGAAAATTACTGTAAACATTTTATAATAATTTTCCATCAATGGAATGTTAATATTTCAATGCTAGACTAGGGTATTATGAACTAATATATACATGTTTGAGTAACAGCTTGTATTCAACTGACAAAAAGACTTACACAACGTCATACTCGGCGACGGCGAGCCTGTCTGCATCTGGATCGTTGACTAACACTAATTTTGCGCGCCTTTCTTCAGCGAGCTGCTGGCTCAGCTTCAGGCACTCCAGTTCTTCAGGGTTTGGGAACTTTACCGTTGGGAAATCAGGATTTGGGTCTTGTTGTTGCTTGACGCTTATTGGTGGCTATAATAAATATATTCTATATAAAAAATCTGAAATATTATATATACTATATAATATACTAAACTAATTAAGTTCTTGTATTAAATATAGCTTCAAAACAGTGGTATACTAGCCCTACTTCCGGCCGTGGTGGTTTACAAGTTTGAACACCGCTTTCCAATATTGGCGGACTCGATTCCTCATACAGTACAAACAGTTATTTATTTTTAAATTATCGCGTTTAGTACCAGTTAGCTCGTGACCACGGCTCGTACAACCTAGTCGAAACATCGAAAGAGGTAAATACCTTTATTTACTATAAAGTTGTTCGTTTTAAGACCCGTTTAACTATAATATATTTATATTCATGAGTAAGATTGTTTGTATAGGTCTGAGTGTTTCCTATGCATACATGCATAGGAAACACTCAGACATTCCAGAAAATTTTATTTCCAAGTATATCTATCAGTTGTCTGGCACCTATAACACAATCTCAGCTTAACTTGGGACTAGATGGCGCTGTATGAATTGTCCTGTTTTATTATTATTATTAACAATATAGGCAATTCACAGTTTGCTGCTTAGCGGGAAATTTGGTACCGTCTTTCTCTAGTATAATGAGTAATATCAGTTCCGGTTTTAATAAGAATATTAGTTCTGTTATCACTTCCGGTATTTCGAGAGTGGGAGTCTAAAGATATCAGGTAAAAAGGCGGCACCATGGCAGCCAAGGACACGTATCCGTTAGGAGGGAGTTGGCTTTCAGCCGCTCCATAAGTCCTTCCGCGGGTTTGGAATCCGCACTTGGCCCCTATCGTCCGGTGAAACTATAAAGGCCAGCTGCGGCCAACAGCATTAGAGTAGTCCAAAAAAAAAAGTTTAGGACTAAATGGCGCTGTGTGAATTGTCCAGAGATATTATTATTACTTCTCTATATAGCATTAGAGTAGTCCGAAAAAAAAGAAACAGCCGAGGACAGACAGTAACCGGAACGGACGAGTCGTGAGCAGGTTTCAAACAATACATAATTATAATTCATTGTTAAAAGTAATACCTTTAAATTAACAGTGTCAAATGCTTTAACAACGTATTCATAGCCGACACCATGCATTGCACTGTACACGACGTCTATCGCTGCTGTTTTGTTCTCTTCTAGAATATTCTCGTTGAGGCTATTCCGTATGTACTCCATATATTTTGTAGTCACTTCTTCTAAACAATCGGTGACAAGTGGGTGTGTCCTTATGTTCTGTATGTCCCAATGTCCTTCTGGGATACTGCAATGAAAAGATGAACTTATAATACATCAAATCACAAATGTATGTAGTTACAAAAAAGGTGTGTATTTATGCATTATGTGCAGCATTTGTGCAGTTGTTTAATATACCCGTAACATAAGCTCACCTTTGCTTAGAAATATTTATTATTTATAGCAGACGGGACAAACAAGGTTGCGCGGTTCACCTGCACCCGCAATACCAGGGGAATTGTAAGTGCGTTGCCGGCCTTTTAAGTAAGACCAAGCTCTTTTCTTAAAGATTTCAATATCGTACTGGTTCGGAAATACCCTTGCTGGAAGCAGATTCCACAATGTAGTGTGGTGGGAAAATAATCAATGAATAGATGGCGCTGTGTGAAGTATCCAGGGATATTATTATCATAATTCGTTTTAAGAAAGCTAGAATCACCATTTTTGAAGCCAGTTGTGAGAATTACTTACTCTAAACACTGTTGTATTTCATCTAGTATATTATCATCATGGGGCGTGATGATCTGCGAACCGTTCCCCCAGTACACCTTGTACCCATTGTCATCTTTGGGGTTATGGGAAGCTGTCACCATGACCCCTGTCGCTGCGCCATATAGTATTGTAGCGAACGACACGAGGGGAGTCGGGCACACAGCGCTGAACAGGTGGACTGGTATAGAAGCTGACACGAAGACTTTTGCTGTCAATTCTGCGAACCTGTGATAATAATATATTCATTTTATTTATACTCTATTGCAACAAATACAGAACAAAAAATTAAAATAATAAAAATATGTTAACTGATACAAAACGTATTATCGCTAAATAATCTCTTCCAGACTACCTTTGTGTGGATAGAGAAAGTAAATATAACAAAAGGGATAACAAAAAGCGTACGTAATGGACATATGTATGTAATAAATAAGACAGAGTTACAAACGCAGTGTGGCAGTGGCATCCATGGCAGGTGGATTTCCACGCGGTTCCCCTTTGAAATCATCGTTATAAATTCCTGTTGAATTTGCCACGATGGGCTAACTGGCCTGACCTCATGTTCATCCTTTCATCTTCCACTGGTACCCCGCCAGCGTAAACCATTAGCGGAGGCAGGTGACCCATACCATTATTATCCATTAAATACGAGAGACAAATGCGGTTGACTTTGCACAGACTACCTCAGCGATATAATAGCGACCTACTTTATTTCGGATATTTCAACAAATTTATATTAAAACCATAATGAATTTACCATCTAAACCTTTTTCAGAAGTCACTTCATTGAAGGAACACACAATGAAAATCCGTTTAATACTTTTTGTAACATGCAACAAGCAAGAAACAAAATATTAACAAAAGTAATTTATATTAGTAATTATTTGTTTATTTTAATTTCAAAATCTTTTGCATTGTAAAGTAATAACAAAATTATTTAAAAGAGCAACACGCAAGTTTCTTGCTCATTCTTCTTGTGATGAGAAAGTTTTCCGAATGAGCGGTAGAGTGAAAAAAAATGTGATGACTATTCAAAAGTGCTTCAATATAAGTTTATTTCAATAAATGATTTGCAATTCTATTCTATTCTTTTTTACAGATATCTGTAATGTGATATGTAAAATTAGGAACCGCGCCAGTTCGGAATGTAATTACAGCCAAGAACTAAAAAACTTGGCTCTAACTCTAGAGAAATGAAATCGTACATTGCTATAATATTTTTTAATAATACTAAGGTGGCAATCAAGCATACGGCCCGTCTGATCGTAAACGGCTAGCCGTAGCCCTAGCCTATAATACAAATGAATATCTAAACATACGGTGAACATAGTGGCTAATAAGATAACTTAATCAGTGATCATAAATTATTTGTAATTTCGATATATGTGGATATCTATATTTATATGAGGGATCTATTCTGTTGGCTTATCAGAAATGTATTTTTTATTCTATGTACATTTGTATTTAAATTTATAGTTATTTTATTGTACATTTATTTATTTATTCAAAGTTTAATGCACAAATACAAAAAAAAAATAAAGGTGCAAATGGCGGACTTAACACCATAAGGTACATTCCTGTACTTTCTTGTTTACACTTCAATATATTGACAATCGTTACTAATATAATATTTCTGTATTTCTAGTATGTATCTTCTATTTTCTTCTTACCTATATATTATACATATAAAATAAAACTACAACATATGTGACGGTCTTGGTGATATAGCGGTTTAACACACCGTCTTACATCCGATGGTTGTAGGTTCGATTCTTCATACGGCCTAAACATCTGTATTCATAAGTATAATTTGTATCGGTATGGGTATTTTCTATGTATAATACTTATGTATTTATCAATTATATAGTACCCATAGCACAGCTCTGCTTAACTGGGGACTAGATGGCTCCGTGTCGAGTTATTACGTTATATCTAGATAATTTGAATGTATCAGTCCGATTTGAACAATTAATTTTACATTTTATAGTCCAACTAGCTGACCGCCCCGGCTTCGCATGGGTGTACATGTTTTATACATATAAACCTACCTCTTGAATCACTTAACCTATTGCTACAAACTGTATTACAATCAGTTGCATAGTTTAAAAGATCTAAGTGAACAGACGAGCGAAGCGACTTAATTTTATGCTGTGAAGGTGCTTCAGTAAAGTCATGTGTATTTATGTATATTTGACCCTAATAAATTAGTGCTAGTTGGTAGTCTGTATTCACACGTTTCGATTTGAAAAATGAGAACTTACAAGGATTATTTAAAAGAGTAACACACAAGTTTCTTGCACATTCTTTTTGTGATGACACAATTTCCGAATGAGCGTAGATTAAAAAAAAATGTTATGACTTGAACAGTCATAACATTTTTTTTTTAATCTACGCTCATAAGTGCTCATAAGTACGCTCATAAAGTGCTTAAATTAAGATTATTTGAATAAAGGATTTTCTATTCTATTCTATTTCTATTCATAGACTATTAAACATCATGCTATAACGTTTACGTTAAGTGTTTACTATTACACACATAGTGATAAACACAAAGTCGTGATAACAGAGTTACGTATTTTTATGACCAATTGTTAAATATAAAATACAGTCATAATTTTGAAGTGGTATAATTTTTTTTACATCCATTTTATATAATTTGTTGTCTTTTTATGTGCAAACGACTGAGCTGATTTTAATATTTGACATGACGATTTGATATTATCGTTATATTGTATTGATTGAAATTGAAATAAAGAAGGACAATACATATTGTTTAGTTTGTTTTGAGGACTAAACGGCTGAGCAGATTTTAATGAAATTTGACGAACGATATATCGATATCAGGAGGCACATATGGACGTCTAAAAACAGCAGCCGAAGTTGTGGATAAAAGTCAATACTTACTATATCTCCTGTGAATACTACTAATTATAATAATCCAAGACAGTTTTTGACAGACATGCGTAAATGTAAGCAGAACTTGTTTAATGGGTACTAGACAACTGGTAGAAACTTAATTAAATGCATTTTTTGGAAATAGATATATAATATACATAGACAACACTCAGAATACAAATCTTTCGTTTCTAACGTGCGAGGAATCGAATCCGCAACCATCGGAAGTATAGCGATGTGGTAAACCGCTAGACCACCGAGGCCGCTATATATGTATCGTATTTATTGCTGTATAGGGTCAGTTTTTTTCATCTTCAAATTAATTCAGAATTAAAGATTTTATTTTAACCACAAAATTATTAAATGCATGCAATGCAAAGCAAAGCATGAACTACAACAGTTAATAGAAAAACTGATTTCCGACCAGTTCCAGAGAAGTTATACATATAAACAAAGAGTCGTGGGTTCGATATTCGTTAAATATTTTTAGGTTACAAAGCCTGCATACTACTACCATTTGTAATAATAAATTACAAAACGCGGTTACATCGCTCTTAATCTTTAATCAATTATAATTCACTTGTTATCGTTCAATGCAACAAAGAATTATCATTAATCAGAAATTATTGTTTTAAAACAATAAAGTTAATAAAGTAAGTCGTTTATTTGACTTACAGACAGATATAAGTAAACAATTAAGCCAGTGAAGATATATCACTGTAAAAAGGCATATTTCAATATGCCTTTGTACAGTGCAAAATGCAAAATTTTTATTACTAAGCCTAAAAATTACATACCTACCTTTAAAGCTATAACTGTAGTGTCTTTGTGTATATTTATAATGAATTGAAATATGAATTAATATTGAGTCATTAGTAGGTATATAATAATATATCTGCAATTCTCTTATCTCTAAGTTTAAATAGGTGACGTTAAAGCTAAATCTGTCTTTGTATATATATTTATATTATAAATTCCAAAAACTGTGTCTGTGTGTTTGTTACCTTTCAAGATTAAATTGCTGAAGCTATCTTTGTAATTTTTAAAATTAAATATTTGTAATTCAATCATGTGATAATTAGGATAGGTTTTTAATTTTGTATTTAATAAGTACCGTCGACTATAAAATAAAAAACAACAACCTTTACCTATAAACTAGTAAAACATTATTTTATTGAGGATTTTTTTTACGAGTACACAAATAAAAAACAACAACCTTTACCTATAAACTAGTAAAACATTATTTTATTGAGGATTTTTTTTACGAGTACACTACTGACAATTTTCTATTTATTCCCGATATTATATTGTCAAATATATGATTGATGACTGTTTGACAACTGACAGCTGCTTTAAATACGTTTAAAGAGTTAACTGTAGGGAATCAGACGTTCAGTATTTATAAACGTGTTTAGCGAAATTTGTAGTGGTGAAATGCAAAATGAAGCTTTGAACACGTTTAAACGCGATCAGTTTCTTTGGTGAAATCCGACCTTAAATTCATGAACTCTGCATACAAACCGAGTTTGAACATAAGCTATCTTTTACCTCACAAAACCTCTATTAACTCGTATGTAACGAGTAACATAAGTACCGTAAATGAGAACCAGTTACTAAAGTAATATCTATCCATTGACGTCAAAAAAAAAGCTTCACAACCACTTGAAATCATAGTGGTAAACCACCCTGAATTGGCGGTGAATTCATGAGGTTTTGTCACAGAGGATAATGGAATGGTGCACGCGCCACGGTTTGGGGGGGCACCAGTGGAGGATGATAAGGTTAGGTCAGTGGTAAATTCACTAGGATTTTATCATTATGGTTTCTTGGGGGAACCATGGGGAGGTCAATCTGACATGGGATTATTTATTCACATTACAATCCCCATCCTCCCAATAAACAAGGATTAGGGTGGTGTATCATTCCAGTAACATTTATAAAAAAAGACGAAGATATGTTTTCTTAGCATCTTTGTTATTACTTATTGATATTATTATTTAATAAATATGTGTTCTTGAGTTAAAATATCTATCCATCGATGTCAGAAAAAAGCTTCACCACCCCTTGAAATCATAGTGGTAAACCACCCTGAATTGGCGGTGAATTCACGAGGTTTTTCCATGGATGATAGATGCACGCGCCTGCTTTTATGTTTTGGCAGGGCATCAGTGGAGGATGATAAGATGAACATGAGGTTAGGTCAGTGGTAAATTCACCAGAATTTTATCATTATGGTTTCTTGGGGGAACTACGGGGAGGTCAATCTGACATGGGATTATTTGTTCACATTACAATCCCCATCCTCCCAATAAACAAGAATTAGGGTGGTG